AGCCGCTACTTTATAGTAGAAGCGACAACGCCGCTTCGTCTAAAATATTTTAGGCGTGTAGGTCATATTGACTTATGCATACTGTGGAATTTTCAGGTTGATCCGTTGAATAGTTTGTCAGAAACGGCTAATTAACACTCATCATGAAAAGCCCTGTATAGTGGTTGTAGCAGCATGTTTTGGTGAATCTCTTACCATTAAAGATTATGAAGTTATATAAATATGAAAATGTATAAGAATATCTAATAATCTTGTTTAGCAAAAAGGGTAGAGCCTTTTCAATGGATTCTTAAATTTTGTTTTTTCATACATAAATGTTTTGGGTATTCTTTTTTCAATGTTAAACCGACGAAACTGTAACTTCTACATGTGTATTGACCTTTAGGTAATGAATAAAATAAATCAATATCCAATTATTCATCAGGTCGTTCCTGATCGTCTCTCGTGAATTTTTCTTCTCATTCCACTCTGGGCCGAAGCTTTTTCATTATCGTGTCAATGGCAAAAAATACAAATTTGATCGAAAATGACTAGAATTACTCAGGGAAATTCAATAGGCGCGATCTCTGGGTATTTTTATTTCATGCCGATACGAGCGATCCACTCGGAATGGGGAAATTGATTTTTAAATTAGGTATTGTCGAGATATATCGGAGAGAGAAAATACAAACGACATCCAAAATACACGGTGTTCCCGCTGTGTATACTTCTGTGGGGAAGCACGGCAAAAAAATAGGAGGCACCAAAATTGTGTTTGCTTCGAGTATGTAGGAAAATTCACTTTTATCGAATAATCAGGAGTGTTCAGTACGTGGATGAAACCAGGCAAGGTTTGTAGTGTCGTGCACTGTTTTTGACAAAATTATTTGTTGAGGCAACGAAAATATAGGAATGACCTTTACCTTATTAGAACAATTGCTATGTGGAAACTACATGAATTTTATTGAAAAATTAGAATTAAAACTTCCAATGTTTTTTATCACTTTACATTTGTAAGCAACGGTTACTGGTACTCACTGGTAACTCTTTTTCGCATTGTTCACCATCGCTACTGGAATCACTACTATTTCATCAGTTCGGACTTCCATTGTCTAATATAATATGCGGTTGCATTAACTCGAGTGAAGTTTTTGAACAGCATTTGGTCTTCCATTCTTAGTTCTGGTAAAAAAATTCCGTTTTCTGTTTGCGAATATACTTCTTTGCCACCACCGACGCTTTCTGCAGTTACGCGTTCGTCGCACATTTTGGCTCGACTGAACGAACTTTTCAGGAACAAGGTTCGCCGAAGTTTTCCAACAATCATCGACGTTTGTTTGCCAACATTT